GTATTTGCAAATGTGTGCTAACTAAACCCCTGTTTTTAAACGCATGTTTCCAGACAGGTTAATTTGGAAATTACATTTTTTGATAGTTGGCTAACTGGCTGACAGTTTGAACTGGCTTTTCTTATCCCCCTTTGTTGATAAGATATACATATCCTTGTTCCTTGCCAATAAAAGCCGATATTAGATTGGGGTAGGCTGGCAAGTTGAACTGGATAGTTCTACTTTTTTGGAAATTTTCTCACGTAGTGAAAGCCCCCCATGTTCACTGTTTAAAAAGCCAGTTATAGACCTGGGCAGGTGATCAGTTTTTTCTTTTTATACAACCAACAGGGTATTCTTCATGTATTTGTTTAATTATCTATGACTGTATAGTCTATTTTATGTACCTCAACCCAACAGCTCTTGCATAAAATACACTGATAAACAAAAATTACACTGCTAACGCAAGTGGCAAAAAGTATTTAAAAAACTTCATCTGACACTGACATTTCTGCTGAATACTGTGACACCTGTTGTGGTTGCTGATGGATTGAAGGTTTTTGTAGATGGCGAAAATCCTGTGTAATAAAACTAGTAAGGCCTCTGTTGCCCAGAGAAATATAATGTACAATATAGTGAATGCAGTGCAGGGGTCAGAAGGAAACCGTACAGCATAGTGTATACAATGCACGGGTCAAGAGTAAAATTTACAACATAGTGTATACAGTGCAGCGGTCAGGAGTATAACCTACAACATAGCATATACAGTGCAAGAGTTAGGTGTATAATGTACAACAGGGCTTAAAATTTCAAATCTAGATCTACTAGCCAGGCAAAAACCTTACTCTCCACTAGTTGCCCCACCAAAACTTGCCCATCCCCAAGCCCACCCCCAGAACTGCCCCAACCACGCCCCTTTAAAGCTTATGAAATTACATTTCTCTTTAGAATAAAGAGTCCAAAATATAAAAAACAGCAATTATAACATAGCTTTATTATGTCAATTTAAACATAACAGCAATAGCTTAATAGAGTCTAGAGGGCAAGCGGTTAACATAAAACAATGTAAACATAAAATGAAAATAAGTGTCCCCATCAGAGTCCTCCTTTACATCAGGTGTCTCCATCAGAGTCCCCCTTTACATCAGGTGTCCCCATGAGAGTCCCCCTTTATATAAGGTGTTCCCATCAGAGTCCCCCTTTACATCAGGTGTCCCCATCAGAGTCCCCCTTTATATAAGGTGTTCCCATCAGAGCCCCCCTTTACATCAGGTGTCCCCATCAGAGTCCCCCTTTATATAAGGTGTTCCCATCAGAGTCCCCCTTTACATCAGGTGTCAACATTAGAGTCCCCCTTTATATAAGGTGTTCCCATCAGAGCCCCCCTTTACATCAGGTGTCCCCATCAGAGTCCCCCTTTATATAAGGTGCTCCCATCAGAGCCCACCTTTACATCAGGTATCCCCATAAGTGTAACCTCACCCTTCCCCCTTGCACTCAGAGATCTTCTTGTGAATGCAGCTTCTCCTTCTTTCCCTCCTTCGGTCATGTGATAAGTTACATGACAAGGGGAGAGAGGAAGGACACTTTGCCTTCACTCCTTAGTGCCGGCTGTCTATTGCCCCCTGCAGGCAGGAGGAAGGAGAAAGCTAGTCCTCCCTCCAGCAAGTGTCTTCAGCTGCTCCCTGTGACAGGAGTGAAACTAAGATCACTCCGGTCACTGAGGAGCGGCACCAGCAGTGCACCCCCCCTCAACACAGTGCTCGGGGCAGGTTGGGTGATGCTGGTAGCATCCGCCCCACACCCTCCGATGTGGCGCCTGGGACACATTCGCCCCCATGTTATTTTCACTAGCCAAATGCGAGCAGGCGAGTGGAAATTTCAAGCCCTGATGTACAACATATGTATAAACTGTAGGGACCACAACCTTAACTTACAACATAGCTTATACAGTGGAGGAGTCAGGAGTATAATGTACAGCATAACATATACAGTACAAGAGTCAAAACTGTAACATACACCAGAGAATAGTGCAGGGGTTAAAACTATTAAGTATAAAAAAAACTATACAGTGCAGGGGTTAGGAGTATAATCTACAACATAGCCTATACAGTGCAAGGCAGAACTATAACATACAACATGGGGTTTAATGTGCAGGAGTCAGGAGTATAATGTACAATATAGGATATAAAGTGCAGGGGCTAGGAGTATATTGTACAACATAGCATATACAGCACAGGGTTCAGATATACTATGTACAACATAGGGTATACAATGCAGGGGTTAGCATTATAATGTACAACAGTGTTTACAATGCAAGGTTCAGGAGCATACTGTACTACATATACAGTTGACGGGTCAGGAGTATAATATACAACATAGTGAATGCAGTGCAGGTGCCAGGACTATGTAAGATACAGCACTGTATACAGAGTGCAGCGTTCAGTAATAAGAGCCCCTTTCTTGTCAGTGGGAGAATATATGCCCCAACGTTGGTGAAAGAATGCAGAGTAATACAGCGGCCCACCTCAGCACCTCATTCCTAAAATGGTTCCTCTTCTTTGCCTACCACCCCCCCCCCCCCCCCACAAAAGATCCCTGTTGCCTGGGTGTCTGTGTGCATGCACAGTGTGGATGGTGTGGGTGAACAGCATCTTGCATCTCCCACTCTCGCTAGCTCTTTCACTGCTTCCTAAGCTCCAGTGCCAGACCAAGACACAGATTCCTCCCTAAAGCAAAAGATGGTTCAACAAAACACTGACAAAAGGGGGTGATCATTTTTCCAACTCAGTGATTCTGTTTTTGAATTTTTAAAAAACTATTTTCTGACATGTTTGTGTTATATCTTTCACTTGGATGTTACAACCCCTGACAAAATGTATGGAATCACCACTCTTGGAAAATGTTCAATCAATTGTTTAACTTTAATTGTGCAGAAAAAAAAACAAACAAACAATCATAGACATGCCTCAAAACTATTTTCATTAACATTCCAACCTTCTGGCTTTAACCACTTGCTCTCCAGAGGATTTACCCCCCTTCCTGACCAGGCCAGTTTTTCCGTTATGGCGCTGTGTTACTTTAACTGACAATTGCTCGGTCATGCAACGCTGCACCCAAATGAAATTTCCGTCCTTTTTTCCCCACAAATAGAGCTTTCTTTTGGCATTTGATCGTCTGTGCGTTTTTATTTTTTGCGCTATAAATAAAAAGACCGCAATTCTGAGAAAAAAACCTATATTTTTTACTATTTGCAATTAAACATGTCCAGTAAAAAAATTTTAAAAATCTAATTTCGTCATACATTTAGGCCAAAATGTCTGCTAAAAAAATCCCAATATATGTAAATTAATTGCTTTACGTTAAAGTTATAGCATTTACAAATGGCGGTATATATACTACGATTTTTTTGTAATTTTTTTTATTTTTACTAGTAATGGCAGCAATTAGCGACTTATAGCAGGACTGCGGCGGGCATTCTGACTCTGGGGGGGAACTGACTGGGTGTCAATGACATCTCCAGTGACACCAATACAGTGATCAGTGCTAATAAAAAGCATTGACACTGTACTAATAGCACTGGGCAGGAAGGGGTTAATATCTGGGGCGATCAAAGGGAGCGCTCGTAGCTCGTAATTTTGCACAGCCGTGCCACCCTGTAGCAGTATTACTGCTATAGGGCGGATGGGAAGCGGTTAAGACACACTTTTGCAGCTATTTTTGCAGATCAAGCAGAGAACAAAAATATAGAATCACTCAATTCTGAGGAAAATATTATGGAATCACAATGTACTTTGCAGTTCTAAAACAAACATCTGCATCAGATTACATTCATTTGTCTGCAGTTAAAAAAAAAAAAGAGTGCCTGCACACCTTGGTTAGATGTTGCACCAAACTGATTGGCACGAATCATGACTCCAACACGAAAGTTGACAGTTGAAACAATGGACAGGATTATAACATTTCTTCAAGAAGGTAAATCATCATGGAATGTTGCAAAAGAAGTTGATTGTTCCCAGTCATATAATGTACAATATAGTATAGTTAGGCTGTGCCTAAAATCTGGACCAAGTACAAATCAAATGGGAAGGTTGTAAAAGGGAAGGGTACTGGTAGACCAGGGAAGACATCAAAGCGTCAATATACAATGCCTTGAAAAAGTATTCATACCCCTTGAAATTTTCCACATTTTGTCATGTTACAACCAAAAACGTAAATGTATTTTATTGGGATTTTATGTGATAGACCAACACAAAGTAGCACATAATTGTGAAGTGGAAGGAAAATGATAAATGGTTTTCACAACTTTTTACAAATAAGTATCTGAAAAGTGTGGCGTGCATTTGTATTCAGCCCCCTTTACTCTGATACCGCTAACTAAAATCTAGTGGAACCAATTGCCTTCAGAAGTCACCTAATTTATAAGTAGAGTCCACCTGTGTGTAATCTAATCTCAGTATAAATACAGCTGTTCTGTGAAGCCCTCGGAGGTTGTTAGGGAACATTAGTGAACAAACAGCATCATGAAGGCCCAGGAACACACCATGTCAGGGATAAAGTTGTGGAGTAGTTTAAAGCAGGGTTAGGTTATAAAAAAATATCCCAAGCTTTGAATACCTCACGGAGCACTATTCAATCCAGCATCCAAAAATGGAAAGAGAACAGCAAAACTGCAAACTTACCCAGACATGGTCATCCACCTAAACTGACAGGCCAGGCAAAGAGAGCATTATTCAGAGAAGCAGTTAAGAAGTCCATGGTAACTCTGGAGGAGCTGCAGAGATCCACAGCTCAAGTGGGAAAATCTGTCTACAGGACAACTATTAGTCATGCACTCCACAAATCTGGCCTTTGTGGAAGAGTGGCAGGAAGAAAGCTATTGTTTAACCACCTCTCGCCTGCCATATAGTCCAATGATGGGCGCAAGGTGGTTCTATCGTTCTGGGAGGACGTCATATGACGTCCTCCCATTCTCACTGCGAATGTGTGGCTCCGGAAGTGCGCAGCGTGGCGATCGGCGGTGTGCTGTGTCCCTCAGACACAGCGGATCACCGGTCCACGGAAAGAGCCGAAGACGTCGGCTCGGCCATGTAATCAGCTGTGTCCAATCACAGCTGATCACATGTAAACAGAGAAAAGCCGGTTATCGGCATTTCTCTCCTCACGAGCTGTCACGCTGACAGCTCGAGAGGAGAGAAGAGCCGGTAATTGGCTTTCCGCGGAGGGGACATGTACACTGATCATCATTGCACTGATGATCAGTGTGCCCTGATGATCAGTGTGGCCCCATAAGTGCCACCTGTCAGTGTCCATCAGTGCCAGCTGTCAGTGCTGAACAATGCCACGTGCCAGTGCCCATCAGTGCCACATCAATGCCACATATCAGTGCCTACCAATGCACATCAATGCCACATATCAGTGGCCATCTGAGCTGCCTTTCAATGTCACCCATCAGTGCCACCTATCAATGCCAACCAGTGCCACCTATCAGTGCCACCTATCAGTGCCAGTCAGTGCCGCCTATCAGTGTGCATCAGTGCCGCCTAACAGTGCCAGTCAGTGCCGCCTGTTAGTGCCACCTATCAGTGCTGCCTTTCAGTGTCCATCAGTGATGCCTGTCGATGCCCATCAGTGCCACCTACCAGTGCCTCCTCCTCAATGCCCATCCGTGCCACCTATCAGTGTCCATCAGGGCAGCCCATCAGTGCCCATCACTGCAGCCTCATTAGCGCACATCAGTGAAGGAGAAAAACCACTTATTTACAAAATTTTATAACAAAAACTAAAGCCATAGATGGGGAGAAAAACGGCAGATTTTCGGCCAAAAATTACGAAAATCGGCCGATTAATGAGTAACCTATAACGGGAAATGATGTCATTTTTTTTTTCAAAACGATCGTTCGTTTTTGACCATCATGAGGATGCGTTTTTCGAAAATTTTCCAACATCACCGATAATCTGAAAAAAATAACGAAAAAAATCGTCCACTAACGATAAGATAATCGGGGCCGGTTTAAATACCACGAAAAATCGGCCGTTTTTTCCCCAATGGTCTGCATAAGAAAAAAACTTTTTTTTTTTCAAAATGTTCAGTGGTTTTTGGTTTGTTCAAAGAAAAAATAAAAAACCCAGAGGTGATTAAATACCACCAAAATAAAGCTCTGTCACAAAAAATGATAAAAATTTCATATGGGTACAGTGTTGCATGACCGCACAATTGTCATTCAAAGTGCGACAGTGCTGAGAGCTGGAAATTGGCCTGGGCAGGAAGGGGGTATAAGTGCCCAGTAGGCAAGTGGTTAAAGAAAGCCATAAGAAGCCCCGTTTGTAGTTTGCGAGAAGCCATATGGGGGACACAGCAAACATGTGGAAGAAGGTGCTCTGGTCAGATGAGACCAAAATTTAACTTTTTGACCTAAAAGCAAAACGCTATGTGTGGTGGAAAACTAACACTGCACATCAGCATGAACACACCATCCCCACCATGAAACATGGTGGTGGCAGCCTCATGTTGTCGGGATGCTTTTCTTCAGCAGGGACAAGGAAGATGGTCAGACTTGGTGGGAAGATGGATGGAGCCAAATACAGGGCAATCTTAGAAGAAAACATATTAGAACCTGCATAAGACTTGAGAATGGGTCTGAGGTTCGCCTATTAGCAGGATAATGCCCCTAAACATATAGTCAGAGGTACAATGGAATGGTTTAGATCAAAACATAATTATGTGTTAGAATGGCCCAGTCAAAGTCCAGACCTTAATCCAATTGAGAATCTGTGGCAAGACTTGCAGCTGTAATTACAGCAAAAGATGGTTCTACAAAGTATTGACTCAGGGGGGCTGAATACAAATGCACCCCACACTTTTCAGATATGTAGTTGTAAAAAAATTTGAAAACCAGTTATCATTTTCCTTCCACTTCACAATTATTTACCATTGTGTGTTGGTCTATCACATAAAATCCCAATAAAATAAATTTACACTTTTGGTTGTAACATGACAAAATGTGGAAAATTTCAAGGGGTATGAATACTTTTTCAAGGCACTGTAGAAAAAGTAAAGCAATATGCTTTGAAAACAGAAAATGCACAACAAAACAAATGAGGAACAAACGGGCCAAAAACTGGAGTCAATGTCTGTGACCGAACTGTAAGACATTGCCTAAAGAAAATGGGATTTACATACAGAAAAGCCAAAAACGAAAACCATCATTAACACCTAAACAATAAAAACAAAGGTTACAGTGGGCTAAAGAAAAGCAATCATGGACTGTGGATAACTGGATGAAAGTGATATTCAGTGATGAATCACAAATCTGCATTGGGCAGGGTGATGATGCTGGTACTTTTGTAAATGTACAAAGACGACTGCCTGAAGAAAACGATATGGGGTTGCATGGTCGAGTATAGGTACGGGGGAGATGACGTCCATTAATCTTCAATAAATGCACAATTTTATATTGAGATTTTGGATACTTTTCTTATTCCATCAATTGAAAGGATGTTTGGTGATGATGACATCATTTTTCAGGATGATAATGCATCTTGCCATAGGGCAAAAGCTGTTAAAACTTTCCTTTAAGAAAGACATTTAATGTCAATAGCATGGCCTGCAAATAATGCGGACCTCAATCCAATTGAAAATCTATGGTGGAAATGAAAGAAAATGGTCCATGACAAGGCTCCAACCTGCAAAGCTGATCTGGCAACTGCAATAAGAGAAAGCTGGAGCTGGATTGATGAAGAATACTGTTTGTCAATAATTTAATCCATGCCTCAGAGAATTCAAGCTATTATAAAAGCCAGAGGTGATGCAACAAACTACTAGTGGTGTACTGCAGTGTTGTTTTTTTTTCTTGTTATGATTCCATATTTTTCTCACAATTGAGTGATTCCATATTTCTTTCCTCTGCTTGATTTGCAAAAACAGTTGCAACTGATTACAGTTTTATTTCTTTTATATTTTTTTTTAAGTGTTCCTAAAGCCAGAAGGTTGAAATGTTAAATGAAAATAGCTTTGAGGCATGTCTGTGATTAGTTTTTTTTCTACACAATTAAACTATTGAATGAACATTTTCCAAGATTCCATACATTTTGTCAGGGGTTGTAGCATCCAAGTGAAAGATATAACACCAACATGTCAGAAAATTGTTTTTTAAAAATTCAAAAACAGAATCACTGAGTTGGAAAAAGGATCACCCATTTTTGTCAGTGTTTTGTTGAACCATCTTTTGATTTAATTACAGCCTTTGGTCCGCTCAGATATATCTCTTCTGACTTTGCACATCTAGACTTTGCAATATCTTCTTTGCAGAACTGCTCAAGTTCAGTTAAATTTGATGGTGACTGCAGCCTCCAAGTAATTACACAGATTTTCAATGGGGCTTATGTCTGGGATCTGACTAGGCCATGAAAGGACATTCATCTTTTTCTCCTTCAATCACTGTGTGGTAATTGTTGCTGTGTGCTTTGGGTCATTGTCATGTTGGAAGGTAAACATTCTTCCCATTGACAACTTTCTGGCAAAGGGCAGCAGATTTTCCTCAAGAATTTGAAGATATTTTGCCCCATCCATTTTTCCTTCTATCCTGACAAGTTCTCCTGTCGCTGCTGCAGAGAACACCCCCATGACAGGATATTACCAGCTCAATGCTTTACTGTAGCAATGGTGTGTTACTGGATTTCTGCCAGACATATCATTTAGTGTTGAGGCCAAATAATTCAATCTTAGTCTCATAACACTTTTTTCTAATGATGCACTGATATATTGGGTGGCGAAAATTATTGGGCAAAAATACGGTTATTGGAGTTTTGCCAATTAAAAAAAAAAAAAAAAAAAGATGCTGATAATGATAATTGACTTCATTGCAAAATCGCGTCCCATTGACTTCAAACAAAAAAACCACTCCCTATTCACTTCAATGCAAAAAAGCCTCTATTTAAATTTTTTTATTTTATATAAATTTCATTTTATTTTCTGTTCAATTTTTGTGTTACTTTCAATAAAATTATTTTACGTTACTGGATTGTATTTTTTAAATTCATATTCATTTAAATTCATGATATTTAATTAAAAAGTTGAACATAATACAATAATATATATAAAAATATTTTTATATTCCAATAGTTTTTTATTGAATAATTTTCAAATAACAAATAGAACAAGTAAACAATAGTCATGTCCACAACGCAGAGAACATGGTTGATTGAACATAAGACACACACTAGGAAACTAGAAACTCTGTAGAGTAGCTACTGGATAATCCAAATAGTAAGTCCACATCATTTATTCAACCATTGGTGGAGGACACAGAGATGGGGGAAGAGAGGAGGGAGGGAAACTGGATATAGCAATATAAAAAAAAAAAAAAAACAAACTGGCCATGTTCAGTTTTCGGCCAAGCGCATCCTGAATTTTTGGTTTTGATTTCATTTTTTTATTTTGGGTGTACCACTACCTTTTTCCATATGGCCTCAGAATCTTCAAGGTGCGTCTTGGCACAGATCAGTCGTGGCTGCACTTGCAACCCTCCCATATAAACCACATTTGTGGAGAATGTGCGATATTGTTGTCACATGCACACAATGGCCACTGTTATAAATTCCTGCCACTGCTTCAGAGTTGCTGTAGGCCTCTTGGTAGCCTCTTTGACCAGTTACCTCCTGGCTCTTTCATCCACTTTGGAGCGACATCCTGATCCAGGGAGAGTCTGTGTTGTACCAAATACCTTTCACTTCTTATTAATAGACTTCACTGTGCTTCTAGGCATTGGTAAAGCCTTTGACATTTTTTTGTATCCATCTCCTGACTTGTGCCTGTCAACAACTTTATCCCGGAGATCTTTTGACAGTGCCATGCCAACCACAGTTGATAGTTTACTTGGTAGCCTCTCTGACCAGTTACCTCCTGGCTTTTTCATCTAGTTTGGAGTGACGGCCTGATTCAGGGACAGTCTGTGTTGTACCAAATACCTTTCACTTCTTAATAATAGACTTCACTGTGCTTCTAGGCATTGGTAAAGCCTTTGAAATTTTTTTGTATCCATCTCCTGACTTGTGCCTGTCAACAACTTTATCCCGGAGATCTTTTGACAGTGCCATGCCACCCATAGTTGATTGTTTACTTCAGTTGCACTACCAGGACTGAAATACTCCAGGAAAGCTCTTTTCATTTTGAGCTAATCAAAATTACCACAGCTGATCACAGTTGAAAGTCAAATCCCTTTGTGTGTGTTAGCTACACCTGATTGATTTTACACATCCTTTTTCCAACTCAGTGATTCTTTTTTTTATTTTTTTCTTTCTGGCATGTTGGTGTTATATCTTTCACTTGTATTTTATAGGTTGTGCTGAGTAAATACAGCTGGATAAAACAAATACTGTATCTGTCTTCATTTCAGGCTGAAAAGCAACAAAATGTGATTATTTTAAAGGGGGGTGATTCTTTTCCATATCCACAGTAAATGTACAGAGTGAGATCTAAGCTACTGTTGCCTATGGCTGCTATTC